CTTCACATATCCTGGTCTCTTTAACTAGCCTACAGCCGAGATTATCATTGGTGACACGTGTAGAGACTCCAGTTCCACAGGTCTTTGAACACTGAGACCATGAAGTTGTTTGGACAATGCATTTTGGATTCTCAAACGAATGGCTGCGAATCTCAGTTTCAAACACTAAAAGACAGAAGGAAGAAGAGAGGATAAGTTTCTCACACGTATGAGTTCTTTGCCTTAGCATGCATAGCAAAAGCCCATAGACATCAACAGATAACTCCACCCACTCACTACCCACCCCTGGCTAGCACAGGAAAATGTGTAACCAATATTTATAACTCACCTGGTAACATTTTCAGCTTTCCCTTTATCGTGGATATTAACTCATTTTTTCTGGTCAATTCTCCTTCAGAAGCATCCACATCAAACCCTTTGCCAAAGAATCCTTCCAGCTGTTCCAGGGTATCTTTGGAGTCATCACAGACCCATTCCTCACAACACTGGCCAGGAACTTTTACTAGTCTTGGGTTAGGACAGCCCAAATTTGGAAGAGAGAGTTCTTGCGAGCAGAGTGGGATGCAGCCAACAGCTCCATCAATGCATGTACACTGGTGTTTGCAATTGGGCTGAAAACTTTCTCCATTCTGATAAATTTTGGAGTTGTATTCACAGGGTCTTCCTTCTGACTGTGCTGTAAAAGTTTGAAAAAAGAGGGAGATATCGTAAGTTGGGCTCAAGTCTCCTCTAGCAGAGTGGTTTCTCTCTCTCTCTCTCTCTCTCTCTCTCTCTCTCTCTCTCTCTCTCTCTCTCTCTCCTGCTCTATTAATTCCAATTTTTGGGTAAAGAGCCCTACAATCCCCCAGAGCTCTAGGCTAGAACAATAAGTTAGTCAGGAATCACTTTTCCTTATGTGCTGTTACTGCAGTCCAGACATAGTGAATTGCATTCCAGACTGCTGAAGTAATATGCCCTTCTGCCAATCTACCAACAACAAAGCATAACCATACATGGACTGAAAATTGCTAAACTTCACCACTACGAGAATGGGTTAGTATGTATCTGCATGAATGAGATATTGAAAGAGCCAAGCTGCCAGCTTCTTACCTCTGCAGATCCCTTTCAGAGCGGTGGAACTGGCGCCAAAGTTGCATTCCAGCCCCTTGGTGTGATCACAAGGCTGTGTCTTGCTACAGTCCTCATTGAGCTGTTTCGCGCAGACTTTACAGCATTTACAACCATCCAGAACCAGACCCACTCCTGGAGTGCATTTGGGAACCTCCAGAGGACATTCACAAGTGTCTGGGCAGGAAGAAGAAATCACCTGCAGAGGAGAAACAAAGGAACCATAGCTATGAGATATAACCCGCTACTGTAAACAAGATAGTTAAAGCCGTCAGCTTTCCTGCCATAGATAAGCAAAACATTCAGGAAGTGCACTCAGTTATAGCCATTCCGCACTTTCTTCATCTGGAAGTTTACTGAATAGGCTTCACTTTGGAGTCATTTCTTAAACCTGAATAGGAGAGCCCCTGTTCTAACACACATTCTTCACACACGCTGTAATTTTCGTGCAGGCAACATGCGACTTTATTTATTGAAAAAGAGAAGGTTGCACATTTCTCACTGAAAATAAACAAGGGGGTGGGGGAAGAAAACCTGCACCCATCTGAAATCAAAATCCATACCTACCCTGTTTACTAACTGGAAGACGGCAAAAGCCAGGATAAAACAGCTGGTTCTCCGCGAGTTCATCTTCGCTCGTTTCCAGACGCTGGGGATATTACGGTCCTTTTTTTTTTTCCTTAGCTCAAACCGAAGGCGGCGCGGGGGGAGGGAGAGAACCCGAGCAAAACAGCGGTGTTTTTCAAAAGACAGTCGGAGTCCTGGAAGAATGCTAAACGCCTCGCGGCTGCTCTAGCTCCTTTTTCTTTTCTTTTTTTTAAAAAAGCCAGAGAATAGGCACCAGGTCTCTTCTCGGCTTTCTGCTCTTCCGCCTGACGTTTCTCACAGCCCTTTGCCTGTCTGAGCAGACGCGGAGTGGGAGCTGCCTTATATATGCTACCGCTGCCGCCGCGTGCTGCAGCTCCGCTGACGTCGAGCCAGAATTCTAAAGCATCAGGAATTCTAAAGCATCTCAGGAATGTTTCCTTGGCGCGGTTTGCATCCAAGCTCCTCCCTGTCTAAGGGCTCTTTATGCTTTGGGGAGGTGGAGGGCGGGAGGGAGAGCTTACACTGACTACAGCAAAGGCTTTCTTTCTTTCTTTCTTTCTTTCTTTCTTTCTTTCTTTCTTTCTTTCTTTCTTTCTTTCTTTCACTCCCCCACCCTCCTTAGTTTCAACCTATTAAACCATCATATACATCGGTTTGGTTTTCCTTCCCTTCGCGTTATGTTTCCTCCACTTGCGGCCTGGGAAAGCAGCGCCTTTAGCAGATCGGCCCGCTGACGGGTTTGGCTAAATAGCCTCGATGCTATGGAAGCTTTTAGGGAAGAAGGGTGCGGGGGGGGGGACGGAGATGGGAAGGGGACGGGGCAGAACAGCCATGCAAATCTTTTCGACGTTTGGGTGTGATCCAGGACTGGAGCGAAAGGGTGTATCCCATAAACCTGGCGGCGTGGTTTAAGCTTTATGAATGGGATTGTGCTGAGAAACTCATACGCTGGTCGGCCCCGTTTTCTTAGACATTTGGAGGGAGGTGGGAAATATTTGTTTCTATGCCCTTACGTTTGGGGGGAGGGGGTGTAGTTACAAGCCAGCCCCTCTGCTCCTATTCCAGGTCATCGCAAGGGACACACGAGTTAGCAAACATTCTGATGTGCTTTAACGAATCTGAGTGTCTTCCGATATTTATTCTTTATTAGATATTTTTAACCTGCCTTGATTACTTCATCAGTAACTCAAGCTGATGAAGGTACTTAATACTTCTTCCTCCACCTCTTGTTCCACACAACAACCCTGTGAAGTGGATTGGGCTGAGAGAGAATGACTGGCCCAAAGTCACCCAGCCAGTTTTCATGCCTAAGGTGGAACTAGAACTCATGATCTCCTATTTTCTAGGCCAGCGCCTTCAACCACTACATCAGCCTTTTGCCTGGGATGTTATCAGGTCTCCTGCCTTTGAGCAGGGAGATGGATTAGAAGGTCCCTTCCAGTCCTATAATTCTATGTTCTAAACTGCCCTTCATCTTTGCATTCATACTGGGATGAAAGTTCTTTGGATTAGTTTTCCACTTTGATTATAATACACTTTGGAAATCAAGGTTTAAAAAGACACTTTTCTTGATTCTTGATATGTTTGCGGGGTGGTGGTGGTTGGGATACAGGTTGAAGGTGGGAGAGGGATGACAGGTTTCAATAAAAGCAAATGTGAAAGCTTCAAAGTTATGCAAATACAACAGTTGAACTCGCAGTGACCTTTACTCCAACCCTAAGTAAATATAATAAACACCTAAATTGCATGCTCCAATTTACACATTAGTTATCAAAGTAATGGTTTTAAAATTATGAAATAAATTGCTTTAACTATATCTACTTAAAAAAAGCTTGATATGTATCTTGGAGTTTTAACACATGTCTACTGTATATTGCATTACGTTCCAAATGCCTATGACTCCAAACCTCCACTATTTAAAATCCTTCAGAATCCTACATTTTGTTGAGGGTCTGAACAGTAATATAAAGCAACAGTAGATCTTCAGAATATTTCCCCTCTTAATATTAATATTTACTTATAATTCATGCTTTTTGCTAACAATTCTTCTTTGAAGCTGGGGGAGCCGTTGTTTCTATCTTTTGTTATTACCATTTGACTTCATGGCTGTAAGTATTTCCAGATGGTGATTCAGACACTAGACGTAACAATATTTCCATATTTGGTAGAGCAGTAGCTTGCATTTTGCACATTTTTCTATTCTGTTATCCAACCACAAAGCATTCCTGACAGCTTCAGATACTGTTAAATATAGACTTCACTTTTGTTCCCAGGGCAGGAAATTCTTTGGAATTCCTGATGGGATGTATTTCCACCTCCCACCCACCCCCCTTCTTCAGTGGTCTGCCTATTATGGTTTAGGAAGAACAGCATTGGAAATAATAATTGTGGTTTGCTGATGGGGGGGACTTGCTCCTTTTATGTGAAATACAGGAATCCCACTTGAGTTTGTAGCTATGTACATTTTTATTTCAATATGCTTCAAAGAGAGGTCTTGTGTTTGTTTTCAACAATTAAAACAGGTCTTATGTTTGTTTCCAATAATTAAAACAGACAAGACTAACATGCAGAAAGCCCACCACTTGCAAAAAAGCAAGTGATTAAACAGGAGAGGGAAGAGGGAGGTGATGTGGGATTGACCTGGCTGCCTTGTTGGTGTCTTACATGTGCTACTCAGTCATAGGGGGGTGGCCATGGAGGGGAGGGTAACTTACCCCTCGCCAGCCCTACTGCTGCTTTGGAGGAGGAAAAAACTAAGCCCTCTGCTGTTGCCAGAGTTTAAAGAGGTGTAGTGCATGGAAGGAGACCTGCCACAGGGGTTGTGAACATGTGTTGGGGTAAGTGTTGCTCCTGGGTCTTAACTTGAAGAGATGGAGAGATATACAGCACTGTATATGTCTGTTAGATATTGTGAGGAAGGAAGGAAGGAAGGAAGGAAGGAAGGAAGGAAGGGAAAGGAAGGAAGGAAGGAGCAGTTTTCTTGAAGTTTAGAAAGGATTAGATTTTCTTTTTTTCTCTCTTTGGGGAAAGGGGTTGGGAGCCTTTGCAGCCAAGGAAGTAGGAGCAGTATAACAGAGCTAGTGTCTTGTATAGGTGGAGGCTCAAAGCTCCAGTCTGACTCAAATCCAGTAGTGTTTCCACAAACAGACTAGGTTTGGTCATAATAATAATAAGACATAATCATATTTTCAAGTTGGTTCTAGGCATCTCTCTATCCCCCCTTCCCTTCCACCTCCCGCACACGTCTCCTTCCCTCTGCCAAAGAGCAGACACGAGGCTGATAGATAAGGGTCCATCTTCAGGTGGAAATTCCCCCACTCGCCATCTATTTCTGCCCTGCTGAAGGCAACATGAGGAAACCATCTGGTTCGCGAGGCTGCCAAAAAGAAAAAAGAAAAAGAAAAAAAAGGAACGAGGCTCAGGATAAAATAACTGTTTGGGTTGCTTTTTTTTCTCTCTCTCTCCACAATTCCTGCCCCCTCCTCTTGTTCCAGAACGAATACCCTCCCCAAGGGAAAACGCTGTTTCAGCTCCCCCAGACCACTGGCAGCCAAGGGGCTGCCTAGAACAGGAGCTCGCTGAGAAACGGCCGAGGCTGCAAAGCCGCCCCTTCAGCTTGTCCGGGTTGTGCGGTTGCTCCCGGCGATGGGGAAGAGGGGAAGGCAGCGAATCTGCGTCGCCCTTCCTGCTCTCCGGTCTGGCTCCGAGAAACTAAGACTGAGAAGCGGGGAGTGGGATGCAAAACAGAGGGTTGACGCTCCGGCCAAAGTGATTTCCGGCTTCGGCTGAACGAACTCCAGAGGTTTTCCAGCCCCCGCCATATTTGGTGAAAGCTTAGAGGACCTCGTCATCGGCACTCTACTAAGACGGTGGCGTAGAGGAATGGAGCTGCGCCAGAAGAGCTCAGAAGGGCCTTGGATTACATACCGAAGATACATGTCACTTGAGAATCTCTAAGAACATGTTTAATCTCTCCCCGGAGTGTTAGGAATATTGCTTCCTCTCCTGACGGAAAAGAGTGCTTCTAGGCAGCATTTCCTGCCTCGAAGGGCTCTAACGAGTCCTTTCTAGAGAGTATTTCAGGGCTCATTTTGTGAATACAAGCCAAGGACTGAGAACTAGATGGAAGCTTTGCGAGAGAAACGAGATGGATATTTGGCAGCACCGACTGGTTTATTTATTTGTTAAACTTAACACCCTCTCTTTCCTTCAGGAGCTCAGAACAATTTGCACGGTGCTCTCTCTCCTCCATTTTCCTCACAACAACATTCTGGGTGCCAAGATGGTGTAAAAGAAAAGTGACTGGGGAAAACCACCTAGCAAGGTTCCATGGCTCTGGCTGTGCTTGATCTGGCTTCAGGTCCCTTCTGTGAAGCTGTGCCATTTGGTGAGGCCCACAAAATGGGCCTTCCTTGTCATGCAGTTGCTTGATGGAACACCCTCTTCCTGTAGATTCAGATGGCCCTGAACTCATCAGTCGTCTGGCAGGCTGTGAAGACCCAGCTTTTCGCCCCAGGTCCTTGGGCCAGGCTTTTAATGGGACCCAGCAAGGTTGTATGGAATATGTGGATGAGGTTTTTGTTGTGGTACCTTGACGTTTATATATATATATGTATGATGCTTTTATTCCTTTGCTCATTGGCCAGAGTTCTGGTAGTAGATGGACAGCCATTTATATTTGCTGAATAAATAAAGCTGGACATCTCTGTGCCAGTCCAACAGCTTCAGTTCTGAAGAATGTTGCATTTTACTACAGTCATTTCTTATCTGCTTGACCAAGCAATCAGAGGAATTTGACTGGAAACATCACTGTAGAATAGACATGTCAAACACAAGGCCCGGGGGCCAGATGTGGCCCGTGAAGTGGTTTCATGTGGCCTGCGAAGCCGTCCTGGAAACAGTGAGGGAACGGTCCCCGCTGCCTTGGCCCTGGCCCAGGCCAGCCGGGAGCCAATATACAATTTTGTGGTGGCCATCTTGGCACTGGCCCTGGTGGACCATGCCTTGGCACTTGCCCTGATCCCACCCCCTTCTACCAGAGACCCTCAAATCTAGTCCCACTCCTGCCCAGGCCCCCATAGGCACCCTTGATGCGAATGGTGTAGAACTGGCCATGCCCACCCAGTAGGCCGCACCCACTCCATCTACTTCCACCCAATCGGCTGCACCCACTCTGGCCACACCCACCTGGCCCCCCAAGGGCAACCACAATGCTGATGCGGCCCTCAGTGAAATTGAGTTTGACACCCCTGCTGTAGAATCACCAGTTACACACTAAGAAATCTGAGAAGGACACTTAAATTATTCTTGAAATAATGTGAAAACGTATTCTCCAGCTCTATAAAAGTACTTAAGACATAGCTGCAAAACTCAGCAACATCTATCAGAAGCAATTCCTACATAAAGTAGGGATGCATTTAACCCCCTGGCATTTTTACATTAATTTATTAAATATTTGTCTTGCTCCAGTTCACCACGCTCTTTTCTTGTATGTAGTTCAACAGGCTCTTTTCCTGGATGGTACTTGCTCTTTTCTTGTATGCAGAAAATTCAGGCATCCCCTCAGTGACATCAGGGGAAATAAAAATGCCATACATGCAAGATTGATATTTAGATGTAAATAATTAGAAGCAAAGTAATTCTTTTCCACAAAAGAAACCTGTTAAATGGCAATTATATTGTAATCTAATGAAACCAGTTGACTTTAGGTACATAAGGACATTTTTCAAGCATCAACAAAGTGAGAAGGTTTGATGCTATCTCATCAGTCCCAGCCTCTATATGAGCAATTGCCCTCTTCAGGGCCAAGCTATAACATTTCTAGAGGCATTCCACATTCAGATCCATTAATCTGGGTTTTTCTTTCTTCTCTCCCTCATTCTTGCCAAGCATAACCATTTTTCTTAGTTCATCCACTCATATAATACATCCAGAACATATAATTTTTGTTACCTAAACATTATTTCAAAGGAGCAGTTAGCCTTTACTTTTTTCAGGACTGATTGGTTCTTTTTGTAACTCATATAATCCTAATACTTATTTTCAAATCCATAATCCAGAAGTGTCCTTTCTTATACTCCTTCACAATGGTCAGTTTTTACATCTACACATCATGATTAGGGAAACCATTGCTTTAACTATTCTAATTATCTATTGTCATAGACCCTGCCTTAACATTTAACATTTTATCTAAACTTGACATTTCCTCCTATATTGTTCGTTGTTGCCTATGCTTGAGCCCAAGAAAATAAATCTAAATATCACTTACACTTCTTTACCATCAGTTCTCAATATCAAACATGCTGGTTTACATTATTTTTGTCTAGTTAAATTTGCAATATTTTCATATTCTAGTTTTCACATTCTAGCTTTACTTTCTTGATGAGTTTTTCTAAATCTTCTTTAACTTTTAATTAATAGAGTGAAATAATGTAGTCTATAGTCACCTTTCAAACTCTGGCTTTGAAGAAGATTCTTGAAAATACTGTGCACAGCCAAGAAAAGTAACCAATGGATTATTGATTATCTCACTCAAGGCAAAAGTGACCTTGCTCAGATTACGATATCCTACTTTGGACACATTATGCAAAGACCTAGTTCTCCGAAGAAAGCTGTAATGGTAATGAAAGGCAGAAGGAAAAAGAAGTGACCAATCAGCAGCATGATGATTGGACTCAGATACAGTGGCCATGGTTGCACCATTGGAAGACCTAAAAGACCAAGTTAGGGAAAATCTATCTGTGTGGTTACTAAGAGTCAGTGCTAACTTGATGGTACATAATTAATTAATCTGTTAATTTGCACATTATCTTTCATCTTGTTCTTTTTATATAGTGGCTTATACCTCCCCCCCCAAACTCTAGGTTACATAGTCTCATTCCATACTTGTTGGCATTGTGCTGTGAGTCCTTTAACTGCTTATTCTGCAGTTTGAAATAGTTCAAAAGCAATGCCATTTTAATGCTTTTACAGTATGTCTTCTCAAATAATATTGTCCACAGCAAATTGCAATGATACCCAAAAGATGATGTTTAACCAATGACATTCAAATGCTGGCATTGAATATGTAACCAATGCCAATCAAATACTGGCATTATATTTTTGTGTTCTGATGTCTGATGCAGTTGTATAAATTAAGGTTTTATATAATGGCACTGCCATGCACTCATTGTCACTTGATTCCTTTGCCCTTCCCTCCAGATGCCCATGTTCTCATGTTTCTCTTTCTAGTAGAATCATTTGTGAATAGATTCTCTAGAAATATTTCTATTATTTCATAATCTTTCATAATCATCTTAAAACAACTTTATTTTCCTACTTTCTTTAATTTTCTAAATTTAGTTTAAAAAAAAATTAAAAAAAGTTTTGGTTCCATGACTCATTGGGGAGATGAAAAGCTGGGAAAGATAGTTAAACATGGAAATTCATAGGAAAAGACAGTGGACCTACAGTATGACCTCTGTATTTAATGTTAATGTTGTTTCAGGTTTTCACTCCTTTGCTCTGATTAATTCTTTTGGGTGAAATATATAAATTTATATTTCCTATGTAACATCTGTATAGACAGGACTAATTAGAGATTTTATTTTGGTTGCTCATTTCTATATTAAACTTTTATCCTTTGCGAAATTTACTTCTGGACCTCTCTGCTCTTCTAGAATCATAACAATGGAACTAGAGAATAATAATAATCTTTAATATTATTAATCATCAACATCTGCCTATCACAAGTCCTTGGGAAGGACTCAATAGGACACAAATGCCAAATCCAATCTAAGCCTCTGGCACTGTGCAACCAACCATAATAATTTATTAAATGTGTATGCAACCCGAGTGTCAGCAGCTCAGGGCACCTCATAACAAATAAAATCAATAAATAATAATAATAATAAAAAGTAAGTACGATGAAGTAAGCGGTCTCCCTCTCCAAAGGCTTGGAGTCTTTGCAGCTCTTCTAAACAATAGCAAAATGGGGGCATTCAGATCTCGGGAGGCGTCTTGCCAGATTTTCAAACCTGGTGCTGCCACCAGGTAAGCTATTAATTCTCAGATTTATATCTACGACACATCTGGGAAGATCTCACAACATAGATTATTTTGAGTAATCAATTTGTACCGGGCTGTATATGTATTTATTTTCAGATTACAGATTGATCTGGAAATCCCTCAACCATTTGAGATATGCCTAGAGTCCTCCCAGGTTGAGTGGAAGTCTAATTCTCCCCCTTCAAATTTTATGAAACATGAATGCATCTTGGACTGTGTGAGTGAGAAATTTTACAACTGGGGTGGCAGGAATTTCAACAGCTCTGCATATCTATGAGGTTTATTTAGTAGCATAGATTCAGATAGTTAACCACATCATCCTCAAAGTCCCCCAGCAACCCAATGTTCTCTTTATTGCCTTGAATCTGACCTTCTCTAATCCTGCATCCATGATTTACATAGCCTTATCTTACTGCTCTTTACCACAAAGCACCTGTTCTTTGTAAAATAGATAAACCAGGGGAAAGAGTTAGGACAATATGTTATTATGCCAATGGTTCTTTCTATTGCGACAGTAAGGGTTGGGTTATACTAAAGTTTGCTAGTGAGGAAAAACTCAAAGTCCACATGGTATAAAAATAAACAAATTTTCCAGGCTATTATCAAAGTGAACACTCCTCAAATCGAAGTTTAAAGAAGCAGCACAGCCTCAAACCACAACTTTCCACCCTGCAGCTTGGTTTCTACTGGCACACTGGATTCTTGTCAGTGGTTTGAGCTTGTGCTTTTGAGCTCATGCTCATGCTTTTTTTTTTTCTGGGGTTCTAATCATATGTGGTGTGTGTGTGTGTGTGTGTGTGTGTGTGTGTGTGTGTGAGAGAGAGAGAGAGAGAGAGAATTTCAGCTCTCTTGAACTCTAAGAATGATGTTAGCAATATGACATATTCTCCAGATGCCCATTCAAAGCTAATGTTGGAGAGTTCTCCCTGTCAATCCTTCTGAATTTCAACATTTCAGCTTCTCAGTTGTCAATAATTTTGGAATGAACTTTCCATTCTATACTTTCTATAACAGATATACAAATGTCCTGTGTTCAGATTATTCTAGGCTAGAGTCTTGAGTGTTTTAGACTGTCAATGTTCTAATGTCAATGCTCACTGGAGATTTGAGATTTAATATCTCCATCAGGCATTTAGTCAGGGAAACCTAGATATAAATATTTGTGAGTTGGTTGCAAGTATTGATTGATATGAAAATAGAGAGTAAGGAAGTGTAAACTAGACCTCCTATGAAATTATGTTAAATTATTTTAATAATAATGTCAATTCATCTTAAAATTAATTGCAGTGTTAAAATATCACACTGCTGTGAAGAAGATGGAGAGAGACATTATACATTACTATGAGTAAATATATATTTATGACAATTGCATTATCATAAGAACTTATTCCCTTTTCCGCAAGCTATTTTCTAAAACAAGAGTCTCCAAATTCCTTAGCTGATTGATCCCTTCATAAAGATAGGGGGGTAGATAAACCCCCAAATTTATTATATGAAAATAATGT